CTGGCTACCTTAAGGACGCCCGTTTCAACACGATGATTAGGGGCTTGTTGAGTGATCCCTGGACATCGGGATTTCATCTAATATTTGATGAAGAGGTAAAACATACCCTTTTTTATGTGATAGAGTGACAAATGAGCTGGCGGTTCACCTGAACTTTAGGATAACATTACCCTGTGTTTTAAGGACGTTTTACAAACATAAATTTTACGCGGACAAACACCCAGATGCGAATCAACTATCTGTGGGTTACACAAATAGTTGTCCCGTGTGGGAATCGAACCCACGACCCCCGACGCCGAAGCCAATACCTTGGCAACTGCGCCACGGAGTCACCTGTTAAGTGATAACCGCCGCCCACGGACTTTTGCAACGCCCATGGGGTTGAAACTGCGTTGCCACTTTTAAATAAAATGGGCCCCCTGCTGCCTCACTTACGAGACGAAACGCAGAAGTGTTACACTTCTACTTTACACCGGTCTTCTGAGAGGTCCTGGTACTTACCCGGATGGACCTGTTTGTTTGTGAACATGGCCCTAATCGGGATCAAGATTCTACTGTTGCGCTGATCGGCAGGCACTAGGGGAACACTACCTCAAGGCAGAATACGTGTGGTGGAGGTACTCTTCTGACGCGCATACAGTCAGTGAGGTAGCCGAAGAATGGTGTGCGGTGGAGGTACTATACTGACGCGTTCCATCCAGACAGTGAGGTAATCAGATATTGTTGTGCGAGGGTAATTACTTAACGTGAGGTGAACCGCCTGCTCGCCTGTCAAATTTTCACATAAAATAACGTATCAGTCGCGGTTACACTGTTTGGGTAACTAATTTGAACTCATAAAAGACCGGTGTAAATTAGAACTTTTGCGTTTCGTCTGGTGAATTATACCATGTACCTAAATCAAATGAACATGTATCGAGGCCAACCTTTTTAAAGTTAGAAAATTATTGCAACCCCTGAGCTTCTAGGAAATTTAAAATAAAAAGATGAACATATTTCTTCCCTTTTGATTGGTGACTTTCGTTGTTTGTATCACAGCAGTTACACATTTCTTAAATGAAATTGTTCGTTGACCTCGTAGACACTAAGTTTTATTAAGTAAGAGAAGATTTATTAAGTACGGAAAAGTTTTGTAAGTAAATATTCACAAATTAAATTATAAAATTGACTTTTCAGGATTTCTGTGAATCCTGATGAAAATGACTTAGTTTATTCATATATGACAAGATATTTAAAACCAGATAATTATGTACGTTTGAATCTACGAAATCACATATTAAAAAATAAGAACGAATTGTAATATTGACCTATTTTCGAAAAATGTTATTAGGGTAAATTACTGAAAGAGATATAAAAAGTGTAGAGTGCATACATGTAAAGATCTCTTTATTATATCAGAACTCTTTTTACTTTTTATCACAAAACATTCTCAGCTTCATTTTTTTACAAGAAAACTGAACTCTCTTTAAAAAACACAACACTATAAAGTCTAGTAGCGCCATCTATGAATGATACACGTTAGATAAAACTTCCCTAATACAATAGAGGATTTTTTTGAACGTCTCCCGAATTATTTAATAACTAAACAAGTAATCAGTGAATAATATATATTGTGTTCACCGGTAAATTTATAGATCATTATGAACAAAATAGAGGAAATAAAACTAAGTTAAACGTCTCGATGTAGAGTATTGAAAAGTAAACGTATTATCCGAGTTCACGTGAGGAATCTGTACTCGTATAAATAGGCATAAATAGTATAATATTTTTATATGATAATTTGAAAGAGTTTTCAGAAAGATTTAGTTAAGTCTGTAGTCCGTCTATTTCGATGCCTTAATATATAACAATTGGGCTGGGTTATATATGTCGCTTTAGCCAATATACCTTAAATTATTTTTAATTTAATGTGCATATGAGTAAAGGCATGTTAATTTACTCCCCCTTTACCAGAAGAGATGAATTGATCAAATAAATTCTACTTAACTGCACAAACCAAGCTATTACGATAAGCAACTCTATGAAAAAATATTGATATACTTCAGATAGGCCTTGCTTTCAATCGGTCAAAACTTGATACACATTATAATAACAATATGGCATCGCTATCATGCGTTGTGGTCACTTATATTTTCCAACGGCGTTGCTTACTCATTGTAGCGACGACGTACTTTCCTCTTGCTCTGTTCACGCGATCACAAAGCAGGTATGAACTTGAACGAGGTACAATATCGATTTGTATGCACTTCGCTGTGATTCCGTTCGGTTGTGTGATCGCTTTTTTTTTTTATTATAACTAGTTCTTTCAAAAGAGGGATTTCTCGCTCCTTCCCGCTCGATTACTTTTGCCTTTCGCTCAATACTACCTTATCTTTTAGACCTATAATTCTACTAAGGATTAGTAGAAGCGTTAAACAATTACTAGGTTAAAATAAACCATTAAAATTATTTCTTTTTTTCCTTATCGATTATTATTCGATTATTTGACCTAATAGTTTATTCATGATTTTGAATCGATAATAAAATACTTTCATCCTTCCATGAGAAGGTGCTAAATATTTTATAATTAAAATAACGTTGAATTATGACCATATAGCAACATTTAAAATTTTTGGGTTAAACTTGTCAGGTCTTGTACAAGTGACGAGGTCACCGCAGTGGGTTCGAATATAACTAATATATTTTTTTATTTTATTAGAACTAGCTTTTCGCCCGCGGCTTCGTTCGCCCTTAAATAAATATATTTCAACCCTTTACAACACTTTTTTCCAATAAAAAAAATAGCCTATGTCCTTTCTCAGGCTATCTGTGTGCCAAATTTCATGTAAAATGGGTCAGTAGTTTTGGTGTGAAAGCGATACAGACAGACAGAGTTACTTTCGCATTTATAATATTAGTATGGAGTAAAGTATAAATCGTCTACGCTTCTATATATTTTGCGAGTTCTGATCGCCAAGAGTTAGATAAAGCGGTTATGTTATTAATACTGTCGTGCTTTATTTACTCTATAGTAACTTAGTAAATAGAAACTTTTATTGGAATAACTAAACTAAATAAGGAAGTTTATAATACAGAAGACCGAATTAAAAAAATACAATAATATTGTTGACTGTTGACAAATTATTATAAAAAAAATTATTTAATATCTTTTCTCCTCAATACTCTTACAGAACCCTAACAATCGATATAATAGAAATATATAAAGAGATAAGTAGCAATGGATATTAATAATTTAAATGATTATATTACACTTTTTGGTAATTATCGAATATTTTCTTATAATAACTTAGCTCTTAAATAATGGATATCCGGGTCTCTACGATATGTAAAGTTTTTTTCATGGTAAGTCTAAATAAAAAATGTAGTACCAAAGTTTGAATGGTTAATTACTTTCGTCAATGTAATTCCCAGTACAATGAAAGGTGATTATTCAATCGGTTTTTATTAAAAACATATTATCACAGGATTTCGACTTGAGGTCCCACCGACTCCAAATAGCTTCCTTAGTCTCTAAGCTGGTATTGTTTAAGAGATGGAATAGTGACTTAATACATATCGATTTAACCTGATATCAATATTAAAATCTTAATGTATTTCAATTGACAAACATTGTAGGATTTGCTTGTAGAATACACGATGAATTTGAAACTGTTGGTAAAATGTTTAATAGTTTTTTAATGATTTGATTAACGAATTGATGATTTTTTTTTAATTCCGGAAATAGTCTTATTTAATAATATGCCTCATTAACGTGATGAAATTGTAATGTGAAATAATTAAAATTTTTCTATTTAATTACGACATTTACTCAAGATATAGTTGACGTTTGAGATATTAGTACGTATGATTGTTTAAAAAAACTTATTATGAAATTTGTGATTCCAAAATGTGTATTTTGATTTTCATGGAGTATACTAGTATATATAAATTTTTCAGATGTATTTTCTTTTGTTTTCCTAGGATAGGTTGGTAATTGCCTATACATTTGACTAATTAGATAATGTGTTCTGATAATGAAAGTGTACTGATGGAATTTTTGTGTCATCGTAAAAATGTTATTTTGTGCCCACTAGAAATACTTACGGATAAAATCAATCTAGTCATAAAGCAACCTTTCATTTATGTATTTTGTGAGGATCATTTTAGCTGAAAAACATAAATATTGTTCGATTTTCGATGTTCGATTTTCCATTTTCACACGTGACATCTACGATTAGCCGGTTATTGGTTGATCTATCTAAACATCAAAGTTTTTTCTATTACGTGTAATATTGAAGTGATCGAAAATTTAAACTGAATGTAAATCTTTAATGTAGTAAACAGAATTGTTTGATTTACGGCGTTGCGTAGATTTAGCGCGCTTTCGAAACTGCTTGGTAGACCACGTCGTTCGTATTACTTTAAATCTAAGTTGGCAATCAATTTTACGGCCGATACCTATTCACCCGGTCTAAACAAAGGTTTCCACTCGGCCCCAAACGCCAATAAACCCAAAAAAACACCATTAAGTTGCACAAAACGCTCGCGGCTCGACCGCGCCGTAAAATGCTTTTTATTTGCGCTAACGCGGATCATTACAAAATCGCCGCAATAAAACACACGGACCTAACTACGTCACTATCGGATCGGTCGCATCAAAGTCGAATCGCTCGGCCGACGTTCGCGGTAAATGGAGATTCGCGCGTGTTACGAACAAAGAGTTACCCAGCTGCCGTCCGATACGCGGAATACTCGGGTAATGCCACCTCGCGCGCTCAGAGCCGAGTGAACGCTTTCCGTTTAACAACCCCATGCGATCGGCTCCGCTGTCCTTACGTCACCTCACCCCATGCTAAATACGCCGTCCGATTGGCCAATTCACTTTGGCGCGCTTTCTCGACCCGCGGCGGGAGCTTTCTACATCGTAGCATCTCCCTTACAAAGGCCCTGGTTTTATTCGCCAGAAAGAGAAACAGATCAATCCCCCGTGCGCGCTTTCACAATGATGTAACCAGTTTGTAATGGGACAGCTAATGAAGCGCAGCACGAGTGGGAGGGAGACGGGGCAGTGTGCCGTTGATTGTAGTAGTGGAGTGCGAAGGGAACGTGCTACCGTGCGTTCAACTATTTATAATCAAATGGCGCTGCATCGGTGTGCGTGCGTCCGCACGTTATGCACCGCACCCGCACACGCCCGGGGCCCGGAGCGAGGCAATGATGTGCACGAAGTGTTATCCCTTATTACACGTTTCGCTTCCGCGCCGGCCGCACGTACGACAGCGGAGCGACCTCCTTTCGTGCCGCGCGAACTTTTCAGTTTGTTTACATCGGGCGCTGCGATGCACGCCGCGCCAGCGATTGTGTCATCGACCGTACGTCGGACACTGCACAGCGGGTGACTCACGGACAATGCTCGCCCCGGAGTTTTTTTGCGCCGAAACGTTTTTCGTGAGCTCGTGAACTATCCGGCAAAGGGAAACGTCGTCGGTGACAAGACTGACTGTGACGAGCCCGGCCAGATCGTGTGCCGTTCGTGTGTCGAAGTGAATTCTCGAGGGGGACCCTCCGGAGAGTCGCTGAATAATACGGCAAAAGACAATTTCGAAAGTGGAAAGTTTTTCGGGGTGCACTTGGAACTTTTTTAAGAATATCGTAGCACTTTTCTTGTAAGTTCACAAAACTTGTCGAGAATCGTGATTAGAATTCGTAAGGAAACCGGCGTCAATTCAGCGGTGAGGACTCGAGAACCGAGGGCTGTGGACCAACGCGCCGCACAGCATTTATGCATACAAAACAAACGACAATCTGTCCACGCTCCTTCCGCAGAAAAGACACTTTGAGAGACAAAGATGGCTATAGCATTCAACCTGCCGAGCGAGAGAGAGGCGACAGAGGAGAACTTTTCACGACTGAACCGGCTTTTAGCCGAGCTGTACGAGGTGCTATGCCACATCTTGGTATCACGGCAGCCTGGCCCAGAAGTCCAGGAGAATCGGCGAGGTGAGTGCCCTCGGGAGCCTAACATACCACCTTACCACTTAAGATGCAATTCGACCTACATCGTGAACCTGGTCATGGTTGTGGCCATCCTAAAAGTGTCTCTCGCATCGTCTCTCTTCAACACAATAAGATAAAAAACGAAGATTGTACTAGTTAAGTATTGTTAACGGTGATACTGCCTAGCAGATTGTGGACTGTTGTTACATATTTTTAAGTCCATCCGTTCTCTTTGCCCCGTTTTGTTTTGTACATTCCTTTGATCGATCATTTCCGAAGCGTTTCGTTTCAATGTTATATGTTGTGTCAAACTGCACTTAAATTGTAAATGGTGGTACGGATCGAGAACTAACGAAAATCACTCGCGCATGTTGGCATCCGAAATCGATCCTTACGTTTCTGCTTTTAAATTTCTGCTCTTGATTTTAAATTTGAGTGAAGTTCGACAAAACGCCAAATGTTATTTTTTTATTGCCCATTTATAGAACGTACGAATAAATCCCTTTCTATTGCTTAACATTCAAAAGCATTGATGTATATTTGTATTACATTTTCTGTATCTCTCCAAACGGTCATATTAAAGACCAACCGTAGCTATTTAACAATCACAATAATTATTGTAGTGTTGTTAGTTTTCGATTTAGTTACTTGTTCCATTTGATCTCTTATTTTGTTTTTTTTTTATTGTCGATTTTATAACGATATTGGTTAGTTTAATTTATTACAATATCTCGAAGTAAATATATCTTAATCTGTAGCATTTATTTAATTTAAATATAATCTTGGAACATTCAAATATGGATCTCAAATTTTATTTTAGTTCCAAAATCCGATAGTCATAGTAACTTTCGTTTTTAAGCCATTTTTTTATATATTTTTTATATTTTCCTAGACGCCAAATATTAGTTAAAATGTATTGCGGAATCATGTTAAGATTTATATTCTGTGGACAATCGAATTCGTATTTCTTTGTTATTTTTAATACAACATTTTTTTATTCAAATGTAAATATTAGCGAGAGTAGTTTTTTTTGTAATGATTTCGTTCGAAAACTGCGGCGCTCAGTCTTCAACGAAATGTAAAATATTAATTTAATAAAAACTGTTTCCTAATTTGTATAAATAATTAACTATCCAATGACGCTATTGTAGTACTAGCTTTTTTAACATGTAAATATTGCATTTAAATTTGTGATTTCTCAATATAAGCATTCTCGACAAACATTTCTATTATGAATGTAACTATTATAATTTACAATTGCATATAAGTGAAGCATGTAATCAGAATTGCGTAAATAAACTGGATTGTGTTTAACTTAATTCCCTATCATTTTATTGGGGACATTGTGAAATAAACTTATTATTTTGTAAAAAAAAAATCAGTGCTTTTTTTTAATAGTCCGAGTAGACACCCTTTCACACATTAACAATGTCAAATAGCTTCTTGACTACTAATAATTACTAGTGTAGTGCGAAAAACTAATTCGAAGTACATTTAAATGTTTCTTGGCGAGCACGTGCTATTAATAATTCGAACACGAGCGAACATCGCCAACTCGTAAACAATGTAGAGCCATTCTCGTCAATCGAGTCAAAAATGTGCCGTTTCCCGCTAAAATTAGACCGAGACTTGTTCGGAACGCTGTGAGACATGTCGTGACACGTTCCGATTGAAACAATAGAGTATAAAATGCAAGCGTCTATGTGAATATAGATATTAAAAAAAAATTAAAAGAACGAATCAAGGGACCTTTTTATAATGATAGAGCCCGTTTTATAACGATGATTTTGATAGATAACGTTTTGTACTTTAGCAACTTAAAGATTTTAAAAAATCCGCCAAAGATCCAATTAAAGATTTAAATTTCTTTAAAGAAGCCAAGTCTCACGATAATTTATGGGCATTTATGTAAAATAAAAGCTTAGCTCACGGTATTACTTTAAGTTAAATGTTTCCAAAAAGAATAGATAAATAACAAAAGGAAATAGAATAAAACTAAATAAAAGCGAAGGCACAAAAACAAACTTAATCTAGTGTGAACTTGATACGACAGTTGAGCTTACTTAAGTCGTGCTTTAAAGTCACGACTCTACTCTCTACGAGAGTCGCAATGAAAGCGACACCAAAGTAACAAAAAGATTATTTTATAACACTGCTTTAGCGGGATCAAAATAATTCCATTTCGAACTCGGCTTTTAGTCGTATTAGAAAAGATTTCTTAAAAATATAGAAGGTTTAGTTTGATTCACAAAAACTCTACAATCATACATAATATGTAAGCTAAAAATATAAAACAGCACTAACGAAATCAAAAAAAAAATAGAATTTCTCATAAAATTTTTCCTTTTTCCTATAAGTAACGGCAAGCAGTGCCAGTGCAAAGAAATAGTACTTTAATGTGTTAATGGTATGGAAATCATATTTTTGGTGTTGTTCATGTGAGACAATAAATAAAATCTTATTAGAATTAAATACTTACAATATACACCAATTCCTTATTAGTGGAGTTACTTTTTGAAGAAATTTTAAGAACAGAAAACACAAATACAAAATAACATTTGGAGACTGGTTGTTGACAGTTAATGATAAAATAAGTTATACGATTTCAGAGATTAATAAATTTAGAACTTCATTAAACTTCACCAATTTAAAATCAAGAAGCAAAACTTTTTGTATTTAGATCTCTGTGATGGTACTATCAATATTTTGTCTGTGTTTATTTTTTCTCAACAAAGGTAAGTAACGCTTTTCTACGATTCCGATTTGTTTCGATTTAGTTCGAGACGCTTCAACAATTCCACTGATTATAACGCTTTTTGTCGAAAATGCATCAAGAAAGTTCGAAGCGTCGTAACATTTGCTTCTTTTTGTTTCCTGAAACAAATGGCAGAAACATTTATTACTGGAATTCATAACAGTAAAAAAAAAAATAAAGTAACAGCCTATACATGTCCCACTGCTGGGCAAAGGCCTCCTCTATACAGAGGGTATCAGGGCATAGTCCACCACGCGGCCCCACTGCGGATTGGCGGACTATTCATAACAGTATGATAATATATTATTTGCGCATTATAATAACAAAGTAATGAATTATCTAATAACACACTTCTACAAAACTTTTGTTCGATTTTCATATATCTATAGTATGTTAAAAGGTATCATTCTTATATTTCGAATTGGAAACGTGTTACTGGATTTTTCCTAATTTACACTAGCATTTACATCTTGACACGATTGAATTATAATTTTTCTAATTAGGAGTAAACCAAAATACATAAAAATTAAATAGACGTGATTGTTCATGTTCTCAAATAACAAGTTCGAAGAAATAACAACTTCAGCGAGGCGGGAACTTTCCTTCATCGTGACGTAAGTAGAGTGAATTTCTTTTGAGGAACTTAAGGCGAAATGAGAAAAAGTATTGCGATTAAAAAGCATCAGCGGCGCTGAATTATTTACTGTCAATGTACCATATTTACCCCTAAAATCAAAATTTAAGGGCTGATAATAATGACTTTTCATTACTGAATCATGTATTCATTTTAAATGTGGTAGGATGACGCAACAGTTTTCTCTGTTGCACAAATAGGCAGGTCCGTGCGGAAGTACCACGAGCTCACAGAAGACAGGCGTGCAGTGGTTAAACAAAGGTTATTTACATTCATTACTAAAGGGAAAAAGTACAAAGGTAAAAAATATTTCTATGCGCCGGTCTTCTGTGAAGACGGGATACTCTTAGCTCGGTCGGGCATGCTATCACTAAACTTACTGAACGACAAGTTATATTCTTTCGAGTTCAAAAAATTTCGAAATTGAAAATGACCATTCCTACATAACGCACACGCTCCATATCATTTCGGGTAACTGAATTCAAGTACCTTGTACATAAAAAGTGTTGATGACTCCGTGGTGCAGTGGCCAAAGTATTGGCTTCGGGGCCGAGGGTTGTGGGTTCGATTCCCACACGAGACAACTGTTTGTGTGACCCGAAGATAATTGCTTCGGATCTGTGTGCTCGTTCCCAAGGAGCAACATAACCAAAAAGGCTTACAACATGGTTCACATATAAAACGTCCGTACAACACAGGATAATGTTGTCCTTCATTATGGGGGCAATGTTTCCGAGAAGTCTACAACAGACCTTCTAGGTACTACCCAACCCCTTCCACACAAAATCAAACAAATTGTTACACTGACACATTAGTTTCCGAACGATAAACCGCGCTAGTCGGACGGCCGTTAAATTATTGTAGGTAGCTACAGTCGGTATGTTAATTTCTGTTTATTTATGCCCCCAATTAACACTTTGATCGGCCAACTAGTTCGCAATTGCGGTCGGTCCATATTCCGAGATGAATAATAAGGTACAAATGGATTCATGTGAACGTTCCGTTAAAAATATTCATACGTCTACCGGCGGCGTATTGTTTAGTTGTTACCAGAGTATTTCTCTACAAATTGGCAATATTCCCATAGCGACAGTGATTATTAGCATTTATTAAATTTGTAAAATCGGATGTTATAATATGAACAGATTATTTGATGGTAATGATGATAAAAGACTCGTAAATTTTTCTGAGAATATGTAATAGCAGGAGTTTCAGATCCGATATTTATTTATTTATTTATTTATTACACTTACACACACAACTATCATTACAGGCTGACCCAATGCGATAGTGTTGCCTAAAAAATATAAAATAGTCGAAAGAAAATATAAAAAATAAAAGCTAACAATTTCATCAAACCAATTATACCCAGTAAGACTGTAATACACAAAGATAAAAAATCATACTTATAATTTTATGAGTAACATGGAGTATTTTTGTACATTGACTTTGTATTATATTTTAAATTCCACGCGGACGAAGTCGCGGTCACAGCTAGTATTATATAAAAGTCAATGTACAAAACGGTACCTTTTCTTTATTCCGAAAGAATAAAAGGGAAGTAATCAATAAATATATTAAAAATTAAATTTAAACTCAGATCAAACTGAAAAACAACATCTAGAGGCTTCCGTTACCCGTTCATCGAAAATATCTAATGGATGATGGTAAAACCGAAGCCTTACTAAACTTCAAATTTTATTTTGGGTCAGTAAGTTAGCGTTGATTGATTACCAAAATAATGT